CTAACCCGTTCTAGTTTGGTGTCAGAGAAGGCTTTGTAAGGATCTGGCATTTTCATCCCCATCCAGCTGTAGCAAGGTGTTACCCCCACCCATGAGTGGGGTGGTGTCAGAGGAGACATAGGCCTTTTACCACTGCACAGTAGTAACAAGGTTGCCCATATCTCTGTGTCAGTGGAGGCCTTGAAGGGATCAGTAATGAAGTACTCTGCCACTTCCAGCTAGGGAGTATTAGTGAAGGCCTACTCAGGAGCTGGAACTCTAACCTTAGTCCTGTAGTACTAAGGAAACTCCTCTCTTGGGTGTCCCAGGAGGCCAAGTGGGGAACCTAGACTTCTATTTCTACCCAACAGTACCAAGAAGGCACTTGCCCTTCTGCTGGACCAGTATGTGTAAAAGCCAAAAGCCAGCAAAACAGAAGGTTTTTTGTTTGTTTTTTAGGGACAGGGTCTTGCTCTGTCACCCAGGCTGGAATGTAGTGGCACAATCGTAGCTCACTATAACCTTGAACTCCTGGACTCAAGCAGTCCTCCCACCTAGAGCCTCCTGAGTAGCTAGGACTACAGGCTCATGCCACCATGCCCAGCTAATGTTTTTAAAATGTTTTTGTAGAGATGGGGTCTCGCTATGTTCCCCAGCCTGATCTCAAGCGATCCTCCTGCTTCAGCCTCCCAAAGTGCCGGGATTATAAACGTGAGCCACCATGCCCAGACAGTTTGGGGAGTTTTAAAATAAACAATTATATGATTATGGAAGCTTAGAGGAAAAGAGGAAAAAAAAATTTAAAATGAACAATTAGCATATAACCCAGCTATTGCATTACTGGGCATTTATCCCAGCAAAATGAATACTTGTGCTCACCCAAATACCTGTACACAAATATTTATAGCAGACTTATTCATAATAGTAGAAAAACTGGAATCAACCCAGATGTTCTTCAACAGATGAATGGTTAAACAAATTGTGGTATATCCATATCATGGAATATTAGTAATAAAAAGGAACAAGCTACTGATAACACATAACTACCTGGATGAATCTCCAGAAAATTATGCTGATTGAGAAGTACAATCCCTAAAAGTTACATATTATATGATTCCACTTATATAACATTCTTGAAATGACCAAATTATAAAAATGGAGAACAGATTCCTAGAGGTTAAGGAAGCATTGGGTAGTGGAGGAAGATGGGAGTGGCTATGAACAGGCAACCGAGTGATGGAAGTGTTCTGTATGTTGACCGTTGATGTCAATAACTTGATTGTGATATTATATTACAGTTCTGTAAGATGTTACCATTGGGGGGAACTAGCTAAAGGGTACAGAGATCTCTTTGTATTGTTTCTTAGAATCTACAGTCATCTCAAAATGTTTAATTAAAAAATATGTTGGCTGGGTGTGGTGGCTCACGCCTGTAATGTTAGCACTCTGGGAGGCCAAGGTGGGAGGATTGCTTAAGCTCAGGAGTTCGACACCAGCCTGAGCAAGAGTGAGACCCCGTCTCTAGTATAAATAGAAAGAAATTAGGCAAACAACTAAAAATAGAAGAAAAAAAAATTAGCTGAGTACAATGGTGCATGCCTGTAGTCCCAGCTACTAGGGAGGCTGAAGCAGGAGGATCGCTTGAGCCCAGGAATTTGAGGTTGCTGTGACCTAGGCTGATGCCACGGCACTCTAGCCAGGGCAAGAGAGTGAGACTGTCTCAAAAAAAAAAAAAATGTATAGGTTGCCTTCAGGTCCCTTTTGTCTTTATATGCCTTAGATTCTCAGCATTAAAGGAAAAGATAAACACATTAAAACTGAAATTAAAAAAATTTAAAAAGTGCACAGGCCAGGCCGGGCGCGGTGGCTCACGCCTGTAATCCTAGCACTTTAGGAGGCCGAGGCGGGCGGATTGCTCAAGGTCAGGAGTTCGAAACCAGCCTGAGCGAGACCCGTCTCTACCAAAAATAGAAAGAAATTAATTGACCAACTAAAAATATATATACAAAAAATTAGCCGGGCATGGTGGCGCATGCCTGTAGTCCCAGCTACTCGGGAGGCTGAGACAGTAGGGTCGCTGAGCCCAGGAGATTGAGGTTGCTGTGAGCCAGGCTGACACCATGGCACTCACTCTAGCCTGGGCAACAAAGTGAGACTCTGTCTCAAAAAAAAAAAAAAAAAAAAAGTGCACAGGCCAGGTGCAGTGGCTCATGCCTGTAATCCTAACACTCTGGGAGGCCAAGGCAAGAGGATCGCATGAGCTCAGGAGACCAGGCTGAGCAAGAGTGAGACCCTGTGTAAAATACTGGGCTATTAGGACAACGGACACCTTCCAGCTTCTGTTTTCTGCTTGCTTGCTAACTGCAAGGCATTATGAATACATTATGGGATGCAGAGGAGAAAGACAACACGGAAACCGGAGTCTTTCAGCTAGGACCGGAACAGGTTGGAGCCTATCAGGGGTAGGATGAAGTAAGAATCACTGTGGGGGCAGATGCATGATCAGCATGTAAACAGCTTAGGTGTAAAAGGCTCACTAGCACACAAGGGGGAGTCCCTGCCTGAAAAAGAGGCCACTGTGCTGGCACTCTGGGGGCTCCGACCCTAGCTTGAGCTAGACAATAAAACTCCTTTTGATAATTACAGCCTTGGCGACTCTGTCTCTCTGTCTCGTGGCTCTGTGAATTGACTCTTACACCTATCTCTACTAAAAATAGAAAACAATTAGCTTTCATGGTGGTGCTCGCCTGTAGCCCCAGGTACTAGGGAGGCTGAAGCAGGAAGATCACTTGAGCCTAGGAGTTTGAGTCTGTGGTGAGCTATGAAGACACCACTGCACTCTACCCAGGGTGACAAAAACAAACCAAAAAACAAGAAAGCAAACAAAAAAAACCCCCCCACACTTTCAAACTGTTGATGAGAATGTGAACTCTCCTATTCCCCGGTCCCTAAAGGGCAAGATTTTTGTAAAACATGGGTTTTTGGATTCAACAAAAAATAGCTCATTCACCAGGCATGATGATGCATTCAGCGAGGATGCTGAGTCTCTGAGCTGAGGTAGGTTTTGTTATACATAGCTGATTCAAATGGCCAATCACCTCTGCTGGCGTGCTCCCAGAAAAGAGGCCTGAAATGCAAGAAATTCCCCCAAGGCAACCTTGTGGCCAACAGCCCAACTGGGAAAAAGCAATAATGGCCAATAGTGCTGGTAGGAAATCTCTTCTTCCATAGGCTCTATTGGTCTGTATTCTGGTGAGAGGAGGGCAGAGGGACATATAGTGATAGAGTATTCAGTCCTATTGGAGGGGAGTGCCTAGTACAGCACCTGGGCTAAGGATGATTTGCTTTCCTATTATGTAATATTTTGGGGACTTCTGGGAAAATTTGAACTTACGACAAAGGAATAGAAATGCATGACGTCTGTTGGTTATTTTATGTGGTTGACCATGCTTAGATTATCTCTGAAATCAGGAAATCAGGTAACAATTGTTTTTTGGGGAAGAGGCCTGAATGGCTGAGGGACAGGGGAGGAAGGGAGATTTACAGTTGTATGTCTTTGATTTTTGTATTATGTGCATGTAGTATATATATTCACAAGAATGAATAAGACTTCCGTGAAATAAAATGCTCAACCCCCCCCCCCCACCAGCTGACTGAATGGACCCCCTCGTGGCCAAAGGAATATTCTAGGGAAAAGTTGCCTGCCAGGAGGAGGGAGGTCAGACGTGCCTTATCATGCCCCCCTCCCTTCTTGGAGACTTCCTTTGTAACCCATTAACAGGCCTAAGGGTATGCAAAGATAAACCTGCAGGCCCCCAATTTGCAACAAATGGTGGTTTATCTCTGGTAAACAGTTTATGTTAAAACATTCCAGGTCTTTAGACAAAGCTTCATGTCTTTAGCCAATTACAATCTAAAGAATCTTTAAACCCACCTATAACCTGTAAGCCCCCCCCCTTGGAGATGGCCCTCCTTTTTGGGCCAAACCAATGTATGCCTCCACGCATTGATTGATGGCTTTACCGCAACCCTTGTCTCCAAAATGTATAAAAACCAAACTGTAACCCAGCCACAGCGAGTCCACTTGCCCAAGGCCTTTTGGCAGTGACTCTGGGTCATGGTCCTCAAATTTGGCTCAGAATGAATCTCTTTAAAATTATTTTGCAGACTTTGGCTTTTTTTCCGTTGACACTTCCTTTAAGGCTGTCTCGGAGTTTTTTTTTTTTCTTTCTTTCAGGTTTTTGCTTAAAAATTTAAGTCCAGAGAACTGCCACCTTTTCTTCTTTGCAATTGGGTCTACAGGTGTCCCTGGCATGCTTTTAAATGTATGGATGAAATCCAGTGGAAATAGCACTGGACTGAGAGAACACGTGGGTCCTCATCCTACATCTCATAAATAGGTAACCTTGGCAAAACTTATTTCACTGGGCTTCACTTTCCTTATTTGTAAAATGAAGAGGTCGATCTCTAAAGTCCTTAGTAATTTTAACAACTTGCCGTCTCATTTTCTTCTCCCCCTACATTTGGGAGGGAGCGCTAAGGTCTTCAGCGAACATCCGCGGCGGTTAAGGAGCCAGAGCGGCGCCAAGGGCGGCGAGGCCTTCTCCGTGCCGGAGCGCAAACCCCAGCAGCCGGCCACAGCGGCCGGTTTGCGTCTCTTCTCCGGTGTGAGGTCTCGTACACTACGTTTCACTCCCAGCCTGATTCCGGGAGTAGAGTGGATGCTCAAATAATTAGTGAATGCGTGAGGGAAACAAATGGGACGCGGACCCTGCCATGCGGGAGCTGCGCAATTATCTAATTTTTTTCTGCAAAAGGTTCTTTAATAAAAGACTCGGAAGCCTCAAGGCGACCGCCGAGCGCGAACCCGCGCAGCGCAGGGGGAGGCAGGGAGTCTGCCGACCTCGCTCGCCGGGGGCGGGCCCGCGCCTGGGGGGGGCGGGGCGGAGCCGGTCCGCTCGGGCACTGCGCGCGCCCCCGCCCTCCGCGCGCGCCTCGGGCCTCTGCGAGCCCGGCCGGCCGGCGGCGCGCGCTCCTCGCGTCGCTCTGGGCTGGCGGCCGCGGCGCCGCGCGGGTGGGTGGGATCGTGGCGGAGCTCCAGGCGTCCCGGAGGGACGAGAGCGCCATGGCGGCTGCTGTGGCGGCGGCGCCCGCTGCCCGCGCCGCGGCGAGGTGAGAGGGTCGCCACTTCTCCACGACTGAGGAGGCCACAGCTGCCTGCCTGCCTTCCACGCGGGCCGCGGCTCCGGCATGGCCGGGATCATTAAGAAGCAGATCCTGAAACACCTGTCCCGGTGAGAGCACCAGCGCCGCCCCCGGCTGCCCCGGGCCCTCCCTAACCTTGGACCTCCTCCCTTGCGCCGCGCTCGGGGCCGCCTCCCTCCTTCCGGCCCGCCGGGACTGCGTGGCGGCCCCTGCCTCAACTCGAGCCTAGACACCTCCCCCGCGCTCGCGGCGCCAACCGTTGTCCCCACTCCGTTCTTCCCCCGCCCTGGCCCTCCGGTATAGGGCGCTCCTGCCCTCGGACCAGAGCCCTAGACCCCTCCGCACCCCAGCGGCCCCCTGGGCTTTTCCAGAGGGCTCTCCCGGCTTGCTGCCTCCAGCTCAGGTCCCACTCCTCAGGTCCCCCGTCCTCTGACCGTCTCTCCGAGGCCCCGACGCAGCCCACCCTTTCCTTCCGGCCCCTGCTCTGTTCCCTCTGCCTTCTCTCGTGTTTGAACCCGCCGCCCCTACCTGGGACCTCTGCCCGCCCGCTGCACTGCCCTCCTCCCCCGGACGCCGTCCCCCTTGCCCTTTCTGACCCTGCCACCCAGTCCTCCATAGCCATTTCCCCTCAGATTCCCAAGGACGACGCTGGTTTTCTTTCCTAGAAGCTCCCACCTCCTGCTCCCCTTGTGTCTGACCCTGTTGCATCACCCTTGAAAAAGCCCTGCACCCAGGGCCATTCTCCTGAACTCCTTTCTCCTTTGCTTCTCTTCGCATTACACAGTTTTTAATTGGAGAAAGGTCATGAGAGTTGGGGATAAAGTTTCAGCAACCTTCCCTTTAAGACGATGGAGAGGTTTTCTGACAGCCTATGAAAAGAACCAACAACGTTCACTTCTGCTTTGCAGTCTTTTATTAAGCAATGTTATGTCGCTCCGTAATTTTGGAGCATGAGGAGGTTGGCAGGCAAAATAGTTTTCAGATGTAGCTTGGTGACTGCTAGTTCGTGTTACAATTGCAGATTGTCAGAACTGGTGGCCACAAAAATTGGGAACTAGGGAACTAGCTTTTCACTTCGCTTCTTATTCCGGGCTGGAGTTGGTGATGGTTAACACCTTAACCAGACTTTGTATCTCAAGTAAAGAGTGATTCAGGGCTTCGCTCCTCAGTGGTCAGTGGTTTTTAGAAGGTGTTGTGTGGGGGCGGGGGGGCCGGGGGGAAGATGCCAGTCAACATGGGATACCTACACACTGATATATCTTTCTGGGTCTTCTTTTTCCTTTTTAAAAATTTATTTATTTATTTATTTTATTTAGAGTCTTGCTCTGTGGCCCGGGTAGAGTGCAGTGGCATCAGCCTAGCTCACAGCAACCTCAAACTCCTGGGCTCAAGTGATCCTCCTGCCTCAGCCTCACGAGTGGGTGGGACTACAGGCACCACCACACTGGGTTAATTTTTCTATATTTAGTAGAGATGGTTCTCACTCTTGCTGGGGCTAGTCTCAAACTCCTGAGCTCAAGTGATCCTCCTGCCTCAGTCTTCCAGATTACTAGGATTATGGCCGTGAGCCAACCGTGCCTGGCTTGTTTTTGGGTCTTATGGCATAGGTAAGCCACTGCATCCCCTTTACCTGGCTGGCACTGTGGCTTATTTTCTGTTACTTTGACCTTAGGCATTAATCAGTAATTAGATTCAGATGCATCTTTTGGTTAATCACCACATTGTAAAAGAAAAAGCAGATTGGAGGCTGGAGTTGGAAAGTGCCTTGGGACACTTTACTTGGATTAACCTAACATATTCTTTCTCAAGTAGTGTTAATCTGAGTGTTCTGTGAGTCTGGTGGTTCTGTGTAGGGTTTTAAAAGTATTTGGGGCATGATCAAAGATTGCAGAATGGGACAGAATTTAACCAGAGGAAAACTCTATTAATTTGAATGGACATAGATATTAGGGTTTAGAGATGATTTCACCTATCATAGCACTGTGTTTAACATCCCGGGCTTCTGATTTACTTTCTTCTTCTCTAATATGGGGATAGCAGTACCTACTTCAAGGGGTTATTGTGAGGGTTACATGAGTTAATGTATATAAGGACTTAATATAGTGCCTAATACATAGTAAGGGCTCAATAAAACATGACCTTATAGTTATTTTTTTAGCTACAACCTGTGTGACAATTTGATACAAGTCATAACACCTCTCCAGAAAAATCCATATATGCAAACAGGTAATTTTTTAATATAGTTTGGCCTGGAGGAGTTACTAAATCCCCAAAGCACATGTCTAAACCTCTCAAGGCATCCTGGAACTGGGTGGTTCATCTTTGACCTAGTTCAACATCCCCCTCATTTTATGGCTGAGGAAACTAAACCTAGAGAGGACACGTGACTTGCCAAGTTGCACGGGAAGGTACAGTGGTGGACCAGAACTGAGCTTCTTAACTGGCACACTTTCTCCTATAGTACACATATTCTGTGTACCCTCTGTGAACATAGTTTTTTTGTTTTGTTTTTTTGAGATAGAGTCTTGCTTTGTTGCCCAGGCTAGAGTGAGTGCCGTGGCGTCAGCCTAGCTCACAGCAACCTCAAATTCCTGGGCTCAAGCAATCCTGCTGCCTCAGCCTCCCAAGTAGCTGGGACTACAGGTATGCGCCACCATGCCTGGCTAATTTTTTTCTATATATATTAGTTGACCAATTAATTTCTTTCTATTTATAGTAGAGATGGGGGTCTCACTGTTGCTCAGGCTGGTTTCGAACTCCTGACCTCGAGCAATCCTCCCGCCTTGGCCTCCCAGAGAGTTAGGATTACAGGCGTGAGCCACCGCGCCCAACATAGTTTTTAAATAAAAATTTTAACAGTATATGCTGACACATTTTTATTGAATCCGTGGTGAACAAAGTATCTTTTTTAGATGAAGTAGGAATAAATATGACAGACATTGGGGTAAATTTCGGATTTTCTGTACATTGGGCAGGGGACTGAGGAGGAGGTGGAAGAGGTTGATTATGTTATAGCTGTGATTTCAGAGTTCCAGGAAGAGGTGCTAGGATATGAGTCTGGCTGGGGGAAAGGCCAAACTCCTGGGGCCTTCGTGTTTGTTTAGTTTGGAAAAGTTACCTAATTATGTATGACATTTGTGTCTCTGTATAGTCTGCACCACACATACACTGGCTGGCCTGCCTGGGGAGGACTATGGCTCTGTAGCTTGCTAAACCTGATGGGAAAGAGAGAGAAGGGAAGGTATACTGAGTCACTGTGTTAATTGTGTATTATAGCTGTTTGATAATTACTTGTTGCTAATGATGACAGTGCCATTTGACCAGGAAGAAAATATCCTATAGCAGAGAGGATAACCCAGTGACTTTCATATTATGTCTAATTTGGGGCATGAAGTTTTTCAGATAATAAAGTGGCTTGTTGGAATGCATTCTCCTTATTAGTATTTTGGTAAACAAGATTTGGGGAGAATGGTGTTCAAGATGTTTTTCTTAAATGTCTAGAATATGGGCTGGGCACTGAGGATGCAGCAGGGAAGAAATGTAAATGTTTTTTAAAGGCTTTAACCCACGGTTTATATGACTACTGCTTAATACATACAGCTTTAATGTACAGTATTCATTTAAATAGACCTTGGAGAAAACCTTTATTTAGAAACAAAGTAATCATTCATGTGAAAATATTCAAAAATGATTTTTCACTAAATTAGGTTTTTCTTGATTTAGATCACCTTAGCTAATAGCCTTTCATTATACAGGTAAGGAAAAATATGATTGATTATAGGTCGGGCATGGTGGCTCACGCCTGTAATCCTAGCACTCTGGGAGGCCGAGGTGGGTGGATTGCGCGAGGTCAGGAGTTTGAAACCAGCCTGAGCAAGAGCGAGACCCCCGTCTCTACAATAAATAGAAAGAAATTAGTTGGCCAACTAATATATATAGAAAAAATTAAAAAATTAGCCGGGCATGGTGGTGCATGCCTGTAGTCCCAGCTACTTGGGAGGCTGAGGCAGCAGGATTGGTTGAGCCCAGGAGTTTGAGCTTGCTGTGAGTTAGGCTGACAGCACGGCACTCACTCTAGCCTGGGCAACAAAGTGAGACTCTGTCTCAAAAAAAAGAAAGAAATAAAAAATATGATGGATTATAAAGAAAGTCAAGGGACTGTGGCTAATGGAAAGAGCATGGACTCTAGAGCCAAACAAGCCACACTCACCTTCCAGCTCTGCCACTGAAAAGCAAGGCAGCCTTTCTGAGCCTTGGTTTTCTTATCTGTAAAATACAAGAAGGAGGAAGAGTGATACATACCTAGCAGATTTTTTGGACAATTAGAGATACAGTTTTTATTACAGTGCTGCACTGATGTGTAAGTAGGTATTTAATAAAGAGTAGCTATATAACATGGCCAGAGAAGTTAGGGACACTATGACACTATGAAAGCTAAAACCTACTAGCTTTTTAGAAACCCATCAGAAATGTTAGTTATTTACTCTACTGACTGTAGAAAAAGTGAACCTGAGTGACAGAGACATGGCTGATAGGCAGGATAGATACTTTGAAATCCGAAGTATTAGGTGAAATTCAGAGGCATAGAAGATTTCAGAATTCCTTCTGAAATGGGCTCAGCCCTGTTAGTTCGTGATCAGTGCCTCCACTCATCACTCATTATTCTAGAGGATCTTAGAGAATATGGAGGCCAGTCTCCAAGTAGACAGTGAGGAGCTCTAAGCTTTGAGAGACTACTTATTCAAGGTCCTTTTAGGTGGAGGTTTATAGGACTAGTCTCAACTTCCATATCACGTCCCTTTAGCCTTTAGTTATTGTCATATTCATTTCCCAAATAATTATTTCATGCAATTTCTAATAACAGTAAACCATATATTTCTCTGTTTCCCTTTTTCATTTTCTTGTGTTGCTTCAGAATAAAGCACCTTTATTTACTTAGCAAGTATTTAATAATAGACAACTGTGCTAATAAGCTCTTTACAAGTCTTATGATGATTTAATCCTCATAGTAACCCTATTAGGTACATATTAGGCTCATTTAATAGATGACGAAATGAGGCACAGAAAGGTTAAATAACTTGCCCAAAGT